AAGAGTGACTGACAGTAATGAAAAAATGAGTGATGTTTAATGAGCTCGCTGGGGCTCTTCAGTCATGGTTTTGACATTTTAATCTGAGTCCCCCCAGCTTCTAACAATTTGATTCACCCTTTGCTGTTTGTCTGCAGCTCTATGTTCTTCTTGAAAACTGTCCATCGTTGCAAGTCATTCTCCAGAAGGCAAAGACAGTCCATCCCATGTATTACAAATCTACCTCTAACCAGTGTCTGTGTGTGTATTTGTCCCCATTAGTTTTCCACCTCTGAATGCCATCCTGCTCCAGGATTCAGCTCACAAGGCCAGTTGTGTATGTCGTCTGCCTATCTTCACCTCCCATATTCTTCATGAGGAAGCAGTGTCAAAGGAATTTGGCTTGGCCTGGCCAGCCACAGTAACTCCTGTGTAAACCGCAAGACTGCAGTCCTCCCTGGCAGACCTCGGGGACTCGTTGTGCATGCGCAGGGGAATCCCTGTGATGTCCATGTGAGACACCAAGCTGCTATATATGGCAGTTGCTGCAGACAGGCTGGAGGGCGCAGAACAGATGGACTAACCGCTGGGCTTGGATGGGACTTCTAGTCCTCACCAGCCCCGCTCCAACATCGCTGTGCAGTGGAGCTACTGCAGCCCATCTTAGAGAGTAACTGTGGGATTACGCATGCTGGTGTCACTGAGGGTTAGAAACTATGCTGAATACGAATTCCTACCCAGCAAAGATGCTCCCGACATCTTCATGACTTCTCTACAAAGAATGGTTTGTTCAGGTTTATGTGAATGACCTATTGCAGACTGACTGAATACACTCCCATGTAAGGAGACAAGAACTGTAGTATGTTGTGTTGTTTCCCTCTGGGCATAAAAGGCTGTGGCTGAACCTTCCTAAAACATCATGTCTAGGAGGAGGGCCAGGGTTGCTACACAAATAGCATTCCACATCTTCAGATCCTTTTGTTATTTTAAAATCCTTTCACACTATCAATCACTCTAATTCATTCAGCTCATCAGAGTATTTCTTTCTGCAATGGTCCTATAGGGGAAAGCAGCTCATAGTCTGCCTTGCTTCTCACAGAGGAGCTCTGGCTGCCCCATCCTGCAGGGCCCAGAAGAGCAGCCCCCTTCCTCTCTGACAGCCTGTCTCTGGGCCAGCTTCCTACTGAAGTGATGTGTGGGCACACGTTAACTCTGCCACAACCTCCTACATCCTTCTGTTCGCACAAAGGAAACCTGGGCGTATAGCCCAGAAAAGCGTTATGGCAGTCCCAGGCTGGATTATGAGTGGACCAGGACCCCAGGTAGCAGCAAATCATTAGGTTAATCCAAACATGGCCTTTGCAGTCCAGTGGATAATACTGCGATTGAAACCCTGCCTTAAACTTCCTATGGGAGAGTAGGCATGTCCATTGATTTCCCTGCGTCTCAGATTCCCTGTCTTTAAAAGACAAAAGTGATACTCAATAGGCTGAGAGCTATAGATGAAAATAGGTCCTAAGTTTGATTATTATTTTGGTGGCTCTGCTTCTGTACATCAATAGGTCTACCCAAGTTAAGAAAAGACTCAGTTTAGTATATGTCATTTTAATCTGTGATTAGTTTCTAGTGTTAAATAATGGCTTTTGTGACAGATGTAATGTGTCACATTTCCAGGCTTTTAGAGAGGAATAATGAGTCTTGTGACATTTCACTTTTGAAAAGTCACTCAGCCAATGAACTGTGATGCTATCCACTGCAAATAAGCATTTCAGCTGGCTAGAGTGGGGTAATCCCAGTGTTACTTTACATATCCAGTTCACTTTTCAATGATTTATTTGTAATTTCTGCTAAACCACTGTTAAAATTGTCCAGCGCTTGGCTGATAGATCCAGTAACAGGTAACCCTTATTGACAACACAGTTCATTTTGAAGGCCAATATAGCTAAGAAACTGAGAATAAATTGATAGGTTAAGAGGTCATATGTGGGAATCAGTGTCCATCTTCTGTCCAAATGCCAACTTCCAGAGTGCAGGGCTGTCATCCAGCTGGTCTTCCTCTCTTTTGCCTTGCTGGCCTTGGCCTTAAAGTAAAATCACCTCTCTGTAGTCAGAGATGAGCCTGAAAAAAAAAGAAACTCACAAAAATATCCTTTCAGAAAAAAGAAAGGTTTCTTAAAAACAAGTCCTCCTGCTTTTGCCTTTGTCACAGAGAGCAATTCAGTACTGGCACCATCCAGAGCCCCAGGAAATTTTACGCTCCAGCACTTAAATGCAATCCAGCTTGATTTGTCCTGCCCTTACTGTTATTGTAGGCTGGGATCGTTGCCCTCACCTAGGGTACTTCTTGGGAGCCTTCTCCGCCAGCAGCATCCCTGTCCCCCCACTGCTGTTGCAGGTACAACCCTAGGAGTTGCACTCTTCACAGTGGCAAGAGAGGATGTAGCGGTAAGTTGCAGTGAGCCTCATGCCACCCGAGCAACGCAACCGCATTGCTTTCAGCTTGGAGGTCTGGGGCCGGCAGCAGTGGCAGGTGGAACGGAAAGGCTGTTTCAGGACTGTGCTGAAAGAAACCATCGGCTCCGAGCGCGATGTCTGGCTGCAGCGTCCTTCACAGCGAGCCAGCAGCACCATCTACAAATGAACAGAGATGGGTTAGGAAACACACCACCCTAGCTGTGAGTGCAAGCTAATGACTGCAGATGTGTGGCTCCTTCTGGCCTGGCTGATCTTACTTCACTTACGGCATCTCCCCACTGTAGTGACGGTACCCAACCCTGCATGGTCCTTGGGGCCAGTGGATCCCTCAAATGCTTAGATACATGAACATATAAAGTAGAAATACAAAGAAGATGCTCAGTTTGTTGCTGTAAAAAAGTAAATTTCTAGTTCCTTTTCTTGAAAATATCAGCCTGAATGCTTATTTGGAATTATATATGATTACATAAAATAATCCACCCATATAAAATGTGTTATGCATAGTATAAAGCAGTGAAAATATAAATCAGTAAGAACTTCTTGCAACATAGGAAAGTTCACCAGTGAGATCTGACAAATGTAATACAGATACCATCATTCTTCTCCTCCTGAGTTCACCAAATGAGTGACCAGAGTAAAATAACTTACACAACAGGAGGAACTAAGGAACTCCCGTGGGGTATAATTTGCTTCCCTTCCCAACTATCTCCTGTTGAGCAGTGGAGATGGCTAGAGTTTTCTTAGCTCTATGTAAAACATGGAAAGGAAACTCATCAGAGCATGTGGTTAGAAACACCTCTTAAGACCTTCTAGAGATGAGTGTTCGACTGGCTTAAACAAACTGCTATACACCTTCATTGCGAATGAAATATTGTTTAAGTCCAGATCAGCCAATTTTGCTTAACCCAACACAAATTCTAAAAGGAACTTATTGTAGCATCCAAATAAGGTAAGAATATCACAGAAGTGGGAAAACGGAGAGTAAAAATGTGGTAACTCTGATCCTATAACCAAAGAGTAAAATTACATTTCTGCTGTCTTGCACACACATCTCATGATCAACTACAAATATAACAGGAAATATTTTACAATATTAAATACTTCTGAGATTCTTTCACTACACATGCTTAACTGGCTGAAAATCATCAAGTCTTGCAGGTAGGTATGTCAAATGCTTAATTTTCAGAAGCAGTCTCCTTTGGGCAGAATCATGAGGAAAGATGAGAGAGAGAGAGAGTGACAATATTCTTGGCATCAAGGAAAATACCAGCATTGCCTACGTCCTTGAGAAAGGCACTGATTGCCCATAAGGAACAGTACTTTGTACAGGGCTTAAAAATGGCTCATGCAAGTCATGCATGCTAAATGGCTTGCTTGGAATTATACTAGTATATTAGCAACTACACTTCCAGTTAACACAGAGCACGAGGAAGACATCTTCATGAGTTAATCATCAATTTAAGAGATGGGTTCTTGTGGCTCCCCAGTAAATTTGGCATCCTTCATGACTCATAGCATAAATTTATTGTACCCTTCCTGTGATGATGCCTATTCATAAGCAAATTCACTTCAGCTGTTAGTCCTAATATAGTGAGGAGGAAATTTTGGAGTTCAGCCACACCCCAGCAAGCATCAAGCATTAGCTATGTCAGGCTACTTAAGACCAGCATATTTAATATGTACCAGAACACTGAAAGGGGCAATTATTTCAGTTACTAACGTTCAGTTACTAACAGAGAAAGAGCTACTTGCATCCCCTGGGTAAACAAAACTCTTGTCTCACAGTGGTAGACAGGCAGTTGGTGAAGAGTTACAATGCTATCTCATTCAGTGTGTATGGAAAATGAAAGACAAGAGGTGGGGCATTTAAAACAGTTAGTTCCCTTCACAGCATCTTGACAGCTGTCATTACACCCCAACTTTGATTGGTTCACCAGACCGCTAATACTCTTTTTCAAAGACTATTCCCAAGTGCTTGGCTGGAGAGAAAGCTAAGGAGCAATCAAATAGCAGCCTGCAACTGCTCGAAGAGAAGTCACAGAGGCAGTGGAGCCAAACTTGGCTCAGCAATGGCAGATGCTAAAACAAGGGGCAACAGCCACAAGTTGCAATTTGGGAAGTTCAGAGTGACCTCCAGAAGTCCCTTCCAACACATATTTCTATGATTCTGTGATTTCAGCCCAAATATGTCATCATAAGTTGCTGTATGATGAAGGTAACTTGTAGTAGTTGATGCTTCAGGAGCTGGAACAGTCACTTCCAGTACTCTGATCCTAAGACCCTTCGATGTCACATATCTGCTCCTGTGTCTACAGGTACTGTCAAAAAAACCAGCCCCCTCAAAAACAAGGAACAGGATTGAGGGCGGCAGAACAGTTGCATCAGTGTAATTAGAAGGTAAAATTACCTGATCTGCCAATAGCCATGTGTCTTAATAGATTTCTTAGTAACAGTAAGCTTTCTTCTGCAAAAATAGTCAATATTTTTTTCAATACACAACTGTGTTAGTAAGCCTTGCCTTTAAAAATGAGTTTCTTTCTGTGGGGACTCTAATTATCTCAAACTGTGCTGGCTACTTAGTTTTTCGTAAGAGGACAGTTAGTATTAATTTCATTTAAAATTACACAGAGTGTTGGTTTTATGCCCTATTTTTAGATTAGAGTGTAAATCTTTACAAGTGGCATTGCACCATGGGTATCACGTCAATCTTGTAGGAGTAAAAGTATTCAGACTTCCAATTTTGATGGCTTTCTATGCTTCTGGACTAACCTGAAGTCTTCAGCATAGCTTAACCTCCTCCTCATAAATCCAGAACACCACCAGTAGATTTTGGCAGGTGTGCAAATGAGCTGGAAATAGCATGTACTTTAAAAGCTTTGCTTTGCCATTTAATCAATTGCACCAGCTGTTTATTGCATCGTATACTATAGCGGAATAGAGATTATCGCCTAAATAATTAGTAATGATATGATGGCATAGCACAGTAATACAGTAAGTGTATATATAGTAAAAATGTGTGGGTATTTTATAACCTGATCTCTACGCCTTTTAGCTCCCCTCCTCCCCCACACATATAAGCCCGTGCATGTCACCTTGCGATGCTATTCCCAGAAGTACAGTACAACGCGATGCAGGAACGGTGGGGAATTCTTGCTTGCCAGTGCAATGGTGTTTGACCAGCTAAGAAAATATATGTTGTTACTTGAAGTCAGCAGTCTCATAGGTATTTGGACAGCCAGGAAAGAGAGCATTTGTTATAGCAGGTGAGATTTAGACAACATTTGACTCTAATCGCTCACACCATATGCTGGAAATTCAGAAGTTGTGAACTGGTTTGTTATTAACAGTATTTGTAGTCCTCTTTGTTGCACTCGTCAGCAACTGGCTGAGACCTGAAAGCAGATGTGCTGAAATACATGAGAACAAACTTTCACACAGTATTCATGGCCTGGCTGTAAGAAGGAATTACAGAAAAGCTCATGAAATACTTCTGGCCTCTAATAGTATCTTTAAAACATTCAGTAAATCTTTCTTCATGTAGTATATCTGTCTCTGGTCTGGATTCTTTATTGCTAGGCTGTCAGTTGTAGCACTCTTCTGGCACATCGGGAGGAAATACTTGTGACAACCAGCACTGTAATTCAGGAGGCTCTGATTGCAGAAGCAAGGCGATCTAGCACATCGAAGACCAGCAGAACTCGGTGACAGAGGTCAGGCAGGATCCGGCAGTAGTTAGGGAAGACAGTACCTTATGAGCCGACATAAATACTTCCTCTAAGTCAACGGAGAACACTTTTTCAGTAACAAATTGTCTTCTTTCTTCCCTCCTTAGTGTCCCTTTTATGCATTCTGTTACTGTAACGGAATACATTTCCAAAGGCTTTTCATGTTTGGAAACCTGTTTTCAACATCTACTTGAGCTCACAAGTAAGAGGGATTTGAATGATTAAATTATATTTGGTGGATGCTTCCGAATGTAACAAACCTAGTTCCCATGTGGGTACAATTGGCAGCCTCCACAGAGAAGTAGGGTGAGCTTAATCCTTTTTTAACCAAGATGGATGGCAAATGTAACATGGCTTGCAATTTCTGAAGCCACTTTTAACTTCTGTAATTCTATGCTGCACTAAAAGGGAAAATATACAGAGTGAAAAAGGATGGCTTAGTAGAACTAAAACATCATACCAAAAAAGGACAAAGCCTCTGCCTGCCATAAATTATCAGTCCAAGCTCCACAAAGGAAATTCAGTGGAAATAAGAGGTACCACAATTCCTGTAGCAAATCCAACAGAACCTTCCCTTTTTTGATTTGTTTATGTTTTATCACAGTATATTTAGGAATAGACACTGAGGCTAGTTTTCATTAGCAAGTCTATATTGCTCTATGTTGTATGCTAAATCCAGAACAGAAGTCACACGTCCAGCAGAATGATTCAGATCCCTGAGATCTTAAAATAGAGCTTGATTTAACAAAGAAAAGTTTTCTAGGAAAAGTCAAAACTATTCCACATTGTACCTTAAGCGTTTTCATTTTCCATTTCAAGAGAAAGCCCATTTAACTTACAATATTATTGTTCTTGAAGCTGTTGTGGAATTTGGGAAGCCACTAGATGTGATAATATTTTCAAACATAATTTCCATTAAATGCTTAATTTTAAACATGTCATGGACTTTTTTTTCAGTTACAGTTACACATCTCCATGTCAACAGTTTAGTTTTTTCAGAGCTCTGTTTTGAAATAATCTGTTTTTCATTAGAAAACCTTCCTTGTGCTCATATCCATCGGTCCCACTCCTAAAGGCCTGATTGCTTTTCTTCATCATTAGGGATGCTAAGTAATAAGTTGCTGGTGGATTTCCATCCTTCCTTCCTGGCAGGTGGGTGGGTGAAATCACACAGGAGCTCTTTGGCCTCAAGCCAGAGAAGCCCACCTCCATGCTCCCAGACCTGAATTGCCTTAGGGGCTGGGATCAGTTGTGTTGATCCGCTTTTGTCTGAGGCAATGTTCCCAGAGCCGTCCTACTTTGCATTTCTCACAGCCCTAGTAAAGTTGCCATTTGCTACTCATTTGCTCTTCTGCATGTTGGGAGGCAGAAGGGGAACTTACCCAAAGCTAGAGATCGAAGGCCCTGCAGGGCCCAAATTGGGCCACCTACCATCCTTGCCTGTGCTATGTACCGCAGCTCCTCCTGCCCTCCATCAGGGCAGGGAGTCAAGACCAAAGGCCAACTGAACAGAGCACCACCCTACTCAACCAAACTATCACGATAGCAATGATGTCTCCGTTATAACAGGTGATCTGAAGAACACTAGGAGAGGAGGGCTGCTACTACCTGGCTGCAAATATGGGAAAATCACCCCCACCACCCCCACTTTTCACCAGTGTCTCGCAGTGGGGTCCCCTGCAATAAAATCAATATTACACAAACACATGCATCTCTGCAGGTATGTATTTTAATGCTGGATATTTCCCAGATGGTAAAAAGGTCTCGTCTAGGCCGAAAGTGAGAACAAGATCTCTCCTGAATTGCAGGTTGTTTGTGCTTTTATTGTTTGAATTCAGGAGTAGGAGGGCAAAACCCTCTGATCTCACACCCTTCTGAACTGGGAGTGATTATGCAAAGGCAGGCAGGCAGTACTGGTGTGAAACTGGTGTAAAAGGGAGACCAGAGTCTGGCTTTTCCTTGCATCCAGCATGCACAGTCACTACAGGAACTGTTCCTCAGCAGCCATCCTGGCAGCACGAGGGAGCCCAGAGCACTGAGGGGCTATTATTTTCTGTTGATGCTTCTCTCTGCTTTATTTTAAATTTTATGTCCTGCTACTGCCTGAGGTAGTACCTCATCCCTGCGCTGATCACATGAAGCGAAGAATTCGCTCTGCCCACAAAGGCACGCGAGTGGAGAAAGAGGGGTCTTTTTTTGCCATCGCCATATCTGCTTTAACTGCACAGGCACCCTCTGCTCTAAAATGCTCCCTGACTCACGGCTGCTAGCTTTTGCTACTAGGCAACACTGTGGTCAGCCTTCCTGTCCTGTACTCCATCACACACCCATGACCTGTAGCTCTTGCACATAATGCAGAGCTGGAAGAAGTGTTGGCATTTACTGGTGTTCTCGTTTGTTAATCTAGGGAACTGTGTGAATAAGGCAATTCATGTTCCAAGAGACAGAAGGATGGTCAAAGCAGAGACTATACATTTGAATTCTCACTGAGTTAACTCAGTCAGAACAAATTAGGACAAGAATAAAAGGGACCAGCAGAGATTTTTCCCCATTGTTTGTCTGCATTCTTTTTCTCCGCACAATGAAATCAATGACTGTAGGCTACATATCCAGGCTACTAAACCATTTTCACGCAAAATTTTTCAAGCTTGAACTCTCAAATTAAAGGCAATTTTGTATTTCCTTCTGCTTCCAAGCCCTACAGTAAACCTCCTAAATGATATTCTATATGAAAACAAAGACCTTGATACTAAACTGGAAAAAAATTAGCAGTGTTTCTCACATTCTCTTTTCATTATCATTTTACAGCTTGATTCTTATACCTTAGTACACAGCCAATGAAAAGCTTTAAATTTATGTACTCCAGATTAAAGACTGACTTGAAGGAGTGGGCTGACTGGGATGATCTGAATTTCCAAACTAGCCCATTTCCTTGATGCATAGCAGTCAAGACCCAGACTTGCTCCTTTTAATGTTATAGTTTATTACATGTCAGTTTTACCATCATTGAGCCTGTTTCTCCTTTTGAAAAGATGAAAAGAATCTTGCGACTTTTTCTCTCCCTCCATTTTTGACCTATGCGTCCAGATGTCTACATATCTATACATCTGTATTTTGGTAGCAAGGAATTTATGTAGAAATGATTTAAAAATACGGCTTTTTCTCCAAACTCTGCTGATGGCAGCATCCTCCTTACAGGGGATGAGAGGAGTCCTTACCTTCGAGCTACACTTGTACAGTGGGTGGCTGATAGAGTCGACATAGTGATGCCTCATACAGCGACTGGGATCTGAGTCGATCATGAAGGCACTGTCTGTTTTACTGTCCGTGTCTCCCATTATTGCCAGGAGAGAGAGCATGGAAATTGAAGCTGCAAGTACATGATTTCCCATTGTTGAAGAACTTCTCAGTGATAACAGCAGAGGGAGGTAGAGTATTAAAAAAATTCTAAATATCGAGATCCAGTTCCTTTCCAGGATGGTGAAAAGTCTGGTTTAAGTCTCTTAGCTGTCATTCTTCTTCTACTTGAGTTAGAGTTTGTTGAGATTGTAATCCGTCAAAGAATCTCCTGCGTAACTGGAATAAAAATAACATAAATTACAATCCTAACCAAAAAGAACTCTGGAGAAAAACAGACATAAATAATGGTAAGGCTCATAGGATTTTTGCTAGCCAAAATACACTTTCTGAGTGAACATCATTCGCACAGTAGGTACAGTATATGGGATTAGGAAGGAGAGGTCAAGGCCTTGTTACTTTAACCAATGCTCTATCATTTTACTAAGGAGAACATTTTAACTTTTAATATCACAAGTGCTGCAATACCAGTATTTTTCACTTGGTGATGTCTCTAATGGATTCCCATTAAAACTGGTGCTTTGTAATGTATCAGAGATTTCTGCAAATTGAAAGAACTGCATATTCCCTCAAAATGTTGACAGGCGTGTTCTCAGAGGCAAAGGTAGACTGCTTCTTGCATTAAGGATGGAGATTTCTGGTCCAGGTAACAAATGGAAATGATGGAGGCAGTCTGATCCCAGGCTCACGGGGCGGCATGTTGTTCTGCTGCTGCTGCTGCTGCACTGCAGGGATGAGGTGTGTGCTCAGGGTGGTGGGATGCTGAGGGGCTGAGCCAAGGTGCTCAGCAGTGCAGCCTCTCAGGAAATTCACTGAGCATCTACCTGCACTATATGGGGGACTGCCTGAGGCTCTTACTGCCTTGCTTTCCTGAGTACGAAATTCACCCACAAAAAGAGTCACATTTCTTTACTCTTTTTTTTTTTTAACTTATTTCTTTACTTGCTTTCTCATCAGGTTGCACTTCCTGAGTTTCAGTCTCTTCCCCATTAATTAAAGAGCAGGATCTGAAAAATACATTATATTCCATAATATCCAAGTGCATTCTGGCTATCAGGTGGGAAAATAATATATGCAGACAAAGTCACACAGATTGTCACTTAGTCATCTGGTTTTCTGGCGCAGGCTGGAAGCCAGGAGAGATCCCCCAGCAAACAGACACAGGGTCACCATTGAAACACTCTCTGGAGCTCTGCGCTGAGAAAGCAGGGCACTTCCCTGAGCTTCTTCATCCTACACCCTTGGTCATTCTTACAAAGCCAACAGTCTTATGTGGGTGATTTAATTTTGCTTTTACTACAAACAGCTATAGCTTGAAAGACCTGTGAGTTATCCATCTAAATATAACCTGACAAAGCAAAGACCCATCATAAGTAAAGTTAAAAGTGGGAGGACTTTCTGAAGAAACTTACGATAAAACAAGTTTACTAGTCATGCAGAAATACTCTTCCATAGCCTCTTGCCTATTTAAAGAGATGATGTGTGTCTTTATTGCCTTATACAAGCCTCTTTCAAAACAGTTTTCTGATTTGCTGGTGATATTTTAGAAAGACTGATACTCATCTCCAAAACAGCCTGAAATTACGAGGCCTCCCCACTAGACAGCTTAATGATTTGTGGGTTGCTTTAAAGCTTGCTCAAACACTTTTGTAAGACGAATGCATAGCAGTGATAAACAGTTCCAGAGTTCATCCAAGTTGGGAGTCAGGATCTGTCAGGCTGAAGTGACATACAAAGTTTCATGCTGGGAAGAAATGTAATTAGGGATGCTCTGTGTATCAGGCATTTTTAAAAGCCTTTTTGGGAGTTTCAAACTATTGTCCATGTGCCTAAATTGAAAAAGAAAAATGGTGTGAATATGTATTTAACAGACAATAATTTTTTTCCCTGATTCTGGGCTTTGACCTGGATATATTTCCCTAAGCAAATGTTTTTCAGTGGATATGGCTTTAAAAAAATACAATGTATTTTCAGTTGAAGGAGCTTAAACAACACTAAATATTTAGGATTGTGGATCCATTTGTTTAGTCTCATTGATCTCAATAAATATTCCTCCAAACAAGATAAGACAGAAATCTCTCACTCATGGGAACTGGGACGGAGCCCTTCATAGAACTGAAATGTATCGTTGTTTTTCATGAAGATGATGCCCCAGCATTAGCTAACAGGAGGAGTAATGCACTTTTAAAAAATATATTTTTAACCTTTTACCTACATTCCTATTCTTCTTTATAAAGAGGCTGACCAGAGCGCTGTGCTTGGCAAGGACTCTCTCTAGCATAGTTACCAGTATTACACACCCAGTAATTCCTTCTCCATCCAAATAAATGTACTCGATATGTGATGTTCCCATCTCATTTGACTTTATATGTAAGGATCCCCATTTCCCACCCTATTTCTCCCAGTTTAATTTTTTGTTTCTAAACCTTCACATGGTTTTGACTGGAATGATTTAAATTGAATAGAGTGAGAGACATGTGGAGTCCTGGCTCAGTTTTCAAAGGCTTATCTGCCTAGTTTTCTTCAGCAAATAACTGGATAACACACAGTCTGCCTCGTGAAAACACTGTGAAAAGGCTGGAAAGAAACACGGAAAAAGCAAAAAAAAGGAAAGCAGCTAAGCGGCTGTACCTTCTTTTGGATGAGCACAGCACAAAATGTATGCAAGAAGTATGAACAGCCTCATGATCTTTGAAAAAAAACCCGATACTTCCACGACAAAAAAAGCAGTGTAATAAACGTGGGGGTCCTTGGTAACAAAACAAAAGAAGACAAGAATACTGCTATTGCACATTTCTTAGCAAAGAGAGACCATAGATGTAAATGTGGCCCACCTTTCACGAAAAAGTTGTGTTCAGTTGTTGATAGACATATTGACAAAATGAATGTGTGGGTACTGGAAACAGAACTGCAGACAACACTCTGATATTTGCAGAGGCCAGTATCTTCTAACACAGCTACATGAGTACATACACATTTTTCAAGTAGAAATGTACATACGCCATATATAATTGAGCTGTTTAGTGGGGGAAAAAAGTCTCATAGGGTCATTTAAGCATTTTGAAATTACCATGAATATGGAGAAGAAGGAAAAAATCTTTATTTTATTTTTGAATTGGAATCAGAAGTCTAAATATTTTCATTCAGGTTCATCACCATGAATAGCAATATTGACATGACATTTTCCATTTCCAGTTGATACACTACAACAGTATTACATTTAAAATTAGCATTTAATTTTTTTAAGCTTCTATTCCTTTTGAAATACTGCCTTAAATTATAAAATCCTATGCAGTACATGATACCAGGAGGAATGTCTGTACCTTCCAGTCTATCCTTCTGACCAAAAGCAGAAGCAAGTACACCTGTAATCATTAATCGTTGTAGTTGTACTTAGGATGACATTTTGTGTTTTAATTGATTTGGAAAATACACTTCTTTGTCAAAATCAAAAATTTCACACAGAAAATTTCTATTTTAATTAAGTTGGTTTTTTTCCCACTATTTCTTTTCATGTGAAAAATTGTGGCTAACAGTCAATGTGCCAAGCTAACAAAGAGCATGCTAAAACGCTTCCTCTTTACAACATACCATAAAGAGGAAGATACTAAGGTGCCTTCATATTCTTAGCCTTAAAATTGGCTAAAAGATATCTGGCCTAACAATGGATGAAATTCTGTAGCAATGTCCCATTGCAGGATAATTCATTGATATGGCTATTATATGTTATTAATACACCTGCAACGCACTTTCCATATAATTAATTTCCATGAATTCATATAGACATAGCATGCTTAAAGCTGTCACCTAAACTGCAGAGAAAAATAGAAGAGATCTTAGAGAACGACTGTATGAACATGTAATCAACAACTGTATTGCACTTAAACATAGGGGCAGAGTTAAGGTTATTTTTTCAACTTTATATCATTGTTAACTGCTTGTTGAATGCTGAAATGAAGATTTCTTATTATACTCAATACAATTTAGATAGATAGATAGCAGTGGAAGTTAAGATTTTGCTTTGCTTTCAGGGCAGAAGAGAAATTCCATCATCTGGAATTATTTAGCCACTCACTTTGTGAGAACGTAAACAGAAATTCCCTTTTGCTATGTATCTTGGAAAAAAATAAAGACCTGAGGAATTCTCCTAAAGTCTATTGGGTTTGCACAGCATTTATGCTGGAAGATAGAAAGGCAACAATGGAAAATCTCATTTATGGTGTACTCCTACTTAGCTGTTCCCTGTCCACAAGCCTCGAAAAATTAGGCATACAAGTATGTGCACCTTGGCCTTCATTTGCTGTGTATTTTCCATGTTAGAGACTCCTGTTTGACGATGACGGTGCAATTCAATTCACTCAATGTCTTTTATGCTTCAGAAGCTGCCAAAATCCAGTCAGAGCAGCAGTGTGTATATGTAACTAAGCCTGGCCTTGCGTGTTGTGCATATTTAGTAAACACAATTACTTGGCTCCTACCATGTGGTTCCTTCATTCTGAATTTGTTATGTAAACAGAAAAGTTACAACACTGCTCAGAGTTTCTCCAAACTCCAGCTATAAAAAAAGCGTCGCTAACCTTATATGTACATATGTAATTGATCTTTATGAAAAATGGACTTCTCAAGAACTTTATCATATCTCTAAAAGTTTAGGCCAGAAAGTTTAGAATTTAGAGAATTTTTGCTCTTCTAAAATCTGGACTGGAATGCAAAATGTTACTGGTCAAAATATACTATCAGGTTGCATTGCAGTTCATTCTGGCAGGGTTAAACTCTCTATTGCCATGCAAAGGTCCCCAAAAGGGGGCTGGGAGGCCAGGGAGGCGCAGTCTGTGCTGGCACTGGAAGCTCCAGACCCCACAACCACGGGCGTGGGGGTGCCACCTCGGCTGTCAGCTGCTGCTGCTGGCTGGCTGCAGTGTTGGCATGGCCCGCGGCAACCCCAAACCCTGGTCTCTGGGTGACAAACTAGAACTTTCAGGGACCTCAGGGAACCATCTTTTCTGCTCCTGAAATGAGTTATCAAGACCTCAGCTCTGCACTGGGCTGCAGGGCCCTGTGTGCAAAGCTGTCCTTGGCCAAACCCTACACTTGGCTACTGCGGCGAGAAGCCAGTGGCAGCAGGACTGCCCTTTCACTAGTGCTATCCTTCCAGGAGCTCTGTCCTGAAGGCATATATTAGTCTGCCTGTGCACAGGCCTAGTTTTGCTCTAGGACTATTTTCCTCCCCAGGGAAATTAAACTCACATGGAGTGGCTATCTGGCCCTGTGGTCAGGCAACATGGAGTAGCCTGCTCCCAGACTATTAGCCACTCTCCAGAGCGCCATATGGCTTCCGTCGCGTGCAAACGTCCACATCATGCTGGGGAGCTGCTTGGGAAGAACTGTTTGCTCTGGGACAAAATCATATAAGTGACCGTCTGAGCAATTTAAGAGAAGAGATGATGGTGTATAGTGTGTAGGAACCTTTCCTGGCACAGGTTACTTAGTAGAAGAGACACCCTAAAATGTGCCTGATTCTGTTTTCAGGTAAATTGACTGAGAAATTTTATCAACTCCAGTGGATGTTTTAGTTCTGTAAACAAACGTGATTGTCTTCCCATTTGGTTATTTTATTGCAACCATTTGGTTATTTTATTGCAACCATTTCTGTTCCAGCAATGAACTGTGTGACCTCCTCTATATGCATTTGAAATCCTTGTCCCACACTGCCGTCCCATTTCAAAACACATGATGAAGTCAATAAACATCCATGGGGCAACCAGAAAGTAACAGGTGAACACAGAGAACTCAAGTTTGTTTATAAAATGTCTCCATGCACATTTTAAACAGGTTAATTCCCCTCCCAAGACAGGGCAAATACCAAGCTAAATATTTTGAGTGTGATCCTTGCAGGTCTAAATAAGTGAAATGCTTTCCTGAGGCCTCATTGTGCTAAATGAGCATTTGCCCTGTTGACATACAGCTGCGCTGAAGCTTGTTCCTTTTGACATCAACAGGAATTTTATCATCTATTGTATGGGGATGCATCTGGGTCCATCCACCCATTATATACCAGTTTGTGGGGCAGCAATGCCTGGTGGGAGTTGGAGGACAGGGCAGGGAGAGGCTGGTCTTGTTCTCACCAACCCCCTCCGCGCTGTGCTAGATGGTGTGTAAATAACTCACATCCTGCTGTGGTCCCCTTGTGCAACTGGCCCACCACACAATATTGAATTGTGTCTGGCTGTGCCCATTGCTACTGCCCCTGGCTGCTTATCCCTCTCCCCTACCTTGAAACCTGAGCTCTTGCTCCCCGCCACCCCACACTTGGCAGCACCGCAGCCCACGGCATCGCTCACCAACCAGCTTCAGTCTGAAGGTCATCCATCATCATCTTGAGGGCAGCCCTCCGCCCGCTGAGCTGGTTTGGGTCAGTGGCATTGCCCCGAGCAGCCGCAGCAGTGGCAGAGGGCCTGGAGGGCTGCAGCGGGATGGGGTGACCGTGCTTACGTGGGTGAGCAAGCCCAAAGCAACATCAGGGTCTGAGCTTCTTCCACACTGACCCACCATGTGAATTTTCACACCCACAGCATAAAAGCAGTGCAAGGCTGTAAAGGGCAAGAAAAAAAAAGGCCTAGTGGCTCACTGCAGGCCGGATTTAGTAACAACTGCTGGACAACAGGCGAGGGGAAGAAAATAGGCAGAAGAAAGGAAAAGAGACCCAAAGCAAGGGGCTTAAGCCTCTTCCTCTGGGTGTCTACAGAAGCACATCTTCTGGTCGCACCGAGGCCACACCGTCTTACAGCTTGCTAGCCAGCAACTGCAGAGCATTGCCCCTTAAAAACCAGGATGAGAAAATGGGCACCACCTCTGAATAATCAGAAATGTCAGATACTTGATGATCATTCAGTTGATCATTCATACATGTCATTTCCTGCTCTGAGGTCTTTCTAATGTTTTAATGTTTCAGGAGATGAATACTTGAGCCTTCAAGCAGAGTGAAAAAAACAGGAAGACAGTGATATGCAAAGCAAAAAATAAACAGTAATTGCAGTAAATTTAATACAAGCCTCTAGTGCTGGAGGCACACTTAGGAGCAGGCATGGCACTAGCTGCCTTGCCTTTAACATGGTTGCTCATGCAAGGCCATGAGTGTTCACAAGACTGAGAGCCAGTGCATAAAGTGGAACAAATTAAGCTGAACAGCACTTGAGCTCCTGAGCTCCGCTCTCCTTTTGAAGTTTCCAAGAATATTTCCTTCCTTCAGGTAGCAAAGAGAAGAGGGGAAAGCTAACAGTATGTTTCTGCTACGCTATTGAAATAATAAACTGTAGTGGGTACTGTAAGTTGGCACTCAGCCAGCAGACAGGCACAGACAAAAATGAAGAAAAGTTTTTAATACGCTCACAAAGAATAACTATTGGTAGACAAAAAAGTGGTTGTATTTTTATTCTTTTCTGTTCCTACTGCTGGGAAACTTTAAATAGATCCATTAGAGGCATATATAGGATCTCACTCAGATGAGCCCAGGAGCTGGTAGAGCTTTGGGATGAACCCTCAAGCCATTTAATGGAGACTTGATGCGAACCTTGGAGTCTTTCTTTATTTTTGTGTTTTACTGCGTATCATAGTAGTCCTGATCTTGAATATGGGACGGGAATTGAGAGGAATACAGTTTTGCACTTTTTCATCCAGTGCTGGACTGCATCACCCCTCAGTGAAGGATCATATGCAGAGCTGAGCAGTTTAAGTAGTAACATTTGCCCCCTCTCTCAGAGATCAAATCAACAAGGCAGGGGCTGCTATGTAAAGTGCAAATATTCCCAGGTAAGCATTAGCTATAGGATTTGCTTCAGTAATTACCTCTGCTTTAGTCTTATGAGCCAACATAAGACAAAATGACTCTTGGCCAAATTACAAGTTGCTGAGAGGTCTAGGGCATTAGAGCATGTGTCCTGTACCTGCTTGAGTGCCTTACAAACAGATGGGCATTTTTCGTTCTCTACCTCTTACTAGATTGTATGCTTGATCCTCGAGAACACAAGAAACTGTAGTTATCATTAGCTGTAGGACTAGGAATCAGTCCCTTACTCTTTAGCGTTAGGCAAAGACATCCCTCCCACCAGTACCGGCAGAGAGTGTCATGCAGGCTGGAAAAAGCGCATGACTGAAGGGGATGTTGCCTTTTTTCTGACTCTAAGGGTGAAATCCTCTCTTATTTTATAAGAAGCAAAATTCAGACCAGTGTCCATACACCTCTGCCTCTGATAATTAAGGACCTGAACATTTGGCATATGATAACAATTTTGTATCTTCTAACAAGGGGAACAGCGTTCCCCTAGGTCTCACTCTCTTTGAGCTGTGCTGCTATGACAGTAATGCGATTGTCACTGCCATGGTATGCTTAACCTTTGCCAAACCAGAGCTGAGGCATTAACTCAGATCCTAAACTCACATGTCTTAAAGGGCAACGTAACCTGTGCTGCCTCCTCACTGCCATACTGACACAGTTCACAGCTCAGTAATAATAAGCATGACAATGTGACAAGCATAAACCATAACAATGATTGATGCAAAGAGAAAAATAACAAAGAGTAGTCAAAAAATAACGATGCAGTGGAATTCCTCGGAGCTGTATCTCCATGGCATGAGCAGCCAAATACTGTGGTACCGGAAGAAAGACTACACTCATCTGTGGTAGAAAGGATCTCTGTGCTAGACAATGAAATTCCAGTAAATAGGACAAGCACTGATGGTGTCTGGAAGTGGTAGTGCCACTGCTACCCGGACAGTAGTCTGAATTAGATTATGTGAAAAAAGAAGGAATATATAGACTGCCAGCTGCTCAAAGGCTTACTACAACCTTGCTTTTATTGTTCTGCTAAGTTAGAGGTGGGGCATCAGAGGGATTCCAAACATACCACTACTGAGAAATTTTAATATGTTCCACACTGACACATACAAAAAGGAAATAACAGCTGATCATGGTCAGCACAGACTACAGCATCACTTCATACGCGTGCACAAACCCGTGGGCAAAGTGGGGCGATCTTGGCCAAAGAGACTCCGGCAAATGAGCTAACCTGACAGTGGCCACGTTTTTCTTTTGCCGTGGAGCTGAGTTTTAGTGAAAGGGCTGTTAAGTGGGCAGTAATGAAAGACAGCAGAGAAAAGGTGAACTGCACACGGCTACTCACCCCATCCTGCGATACCAGAACGTGGAGAAGGGCAGGGGAGCTGAGAGGCTGCACGTTTAGCACTGATGAAAAGAAACACATGTTTACACAACCGACAATGATCCAACGGAACAAGATATCACAGAGGGCAAAAGTTGAGCGGGCTCAGTGAAAGGACTGCCTACATAGATGAGGGTTACAATGGTAAGGAGGTTATTTTTAAGAGTTTTCGGAAGGGTTATAAACTCTAAAGACTCTGAAAGTCTAATTGATGGGGTTAGGGAAAAATCCTTCGTGATGGCAAGTTACTCCATAGCGTCCTACCGCCGGATCTCTATATCTGTCTTTGATGTGGCCACTTCCAGCCACGCTCAGAGGCGGGTTGCTCCAATAACATGAGACTGCGGCATGTTCTTATGTAGCAAAACTTTTCTGAAACTCAAAGCGACAGGTCTCCTGATAGCTGGCAAGGCATCAGAGGCAGAGGAATTTGTAATATTTGTAATACAACAATCTGTAATATTTATAATTGTATAACAATGGTAGCATTTGAAAAAAAAAAGGGGTATTTTTTTCTTTTTTTTTTTCAGTTAAATACACAGTCCATCATACTTTTTGCAAAAACAAATGTCTTGGTGGCTTTATCCTGGCTCTACCCTGTAGTCATTTAGCTCCCTCCTAAGTCCAAGAGCAACCCAGAGCAATTCCTAGTTTGTCTGAGAGAAGACAAGTTAGGGAGGGAATATTGTGGGACCCAGGGGAAACTGGGAACGAAGCTGACTCCGCGAGTGCTCCCTGTCTGATGATGCACTGAGGACAAGTGATACCAGCCTCCACAGAGGTGCCTCGTTTCCTTCCCTTCTGAGCAAAAGACATTGCAGTCCTGACAAGTAAAGCTAGCGAGAAGATGCAGGTGGCTTCCTAAGTAAGGACCATTCTGGTGGCACAGATGGCTATTGCAGAGCCACGCTCAGAGAGCTCACTGGAGCCTCGCTGCAACAAACAGTACACAGGGCTGTCTGTACCACGGGTTGATATACTGCTCTGAAAGGCATATATACATCTGTTTAAAAAAATGGGTGCTGCACAAAAACAGGGAGCCTACAACGGGGCACTTTCAGGCAGTGATCTGAACTTATATTTAGAATAATCAGCTACAGTCTCTAATTATATCTTTTAACTAAAGCAAATTGCTTTTCATTTTGTAAACTTGAAGCAACATCTTCTATTCCACCTTTGTTTTCTTTTATTGGGAAAACCTTAAAGCATCTTCTTATATTGTTTGTATTGCAAATAAGATATTATTATTCCACTAAGAGTATATCAATGTATAAGTTACACTGGGAACCCCTAATTGAAGCTAGTAAGTAATTATTCACCAAATAGTTCTATTTAAGTCAAGGGAATTATTCATGTGCATAACTGCTCACAAATATGAGTAAGGTCTCACAGCCTGGGCAGAAGTGAGCATCATTAGCAATTCAAAAGAAAAATAAAAAGTCCTAAAAAGTAGATACGCTTCTGAGGAAGGACAAATAACAGCACTGTGATTATTACACTGACATTTATTGACCCCACCAGGCATCTGGGCTGCTTCCATTAGGAAACAATTTTACAGTGCAGAACTGGTTTGAAATGAATTTGTACTCATGGTTGTTTTAAAATAATCATTTGATTGATTGTCTTATTTCCAATATGCAGTGTTCCCACCTTTCAGCCACTAGAACAGAGTTACAAAGCCTTAGAAATTGTTAATAACACTTAGCACTTAAAAAACGTGTTTACATCTTCAAAGGGCTGCAGAAACCATAACAAGTTACTTGTTTTGCCATCTCTCTGAGGTAAAAACAAGTAAGATGTGCCACATGAAAACTGTGCCCCCAACACACATTCTGTAGGAATCTGCTCTACTGATACCAGATCATTTAATTAACATAATGCAAACGTAACTAAGACTATTCTTCGCACGGTTCATCTTTGTTACTCTGATTTATGCTACCGAACTCACTAATTTAAACTTGGATAGGATGAATTTACTCACCTGAATCTCAGCAGGGAGATGGGGCTTTCTTCCTCAGCTGCGTTCTCTCGAGGCTCTGTCTGTTCCAGTGAATTGCATTTACACTATACTCTAATACGTTATCACTTGGTTCATAACAGGGAAACTCTTCTTTGTCCCAAAGACACAGAGAACAGTTATGCTCGTGCCTCTTACACTGATACACAGAGAAACATCCTCCTGGCAAAGAAGGATTTCAGGACATTGAAAGACTCTCTCTCTCCTTCAGCCAACAGTCTGGGATCTTGCGCAGCATCTCTCCACGTGAGCTACCGAATGCATATCCACGCTGCGTTACGTGTAGCGCTGAAGGGGCAGGCTACCTACTAAATATACCCCCCAGTGTTACAGCAAAGGCAAATACTGTGGCTTTCCTCATAGTTTTCAACCAATCAAGGACATACATTAAATCTATCCTAATCCACAACCAGTGCTGTCCAGTCCATAGTAAAGCTTCCCAGAAGTTTGAACGAATAATAATGTGCAAATTAAAAGTGCTCCTGTGAAGCATGACACACAAAGCTAGAAATAAATGTTGCCTATTGTTTCAAATTATTCTAAGCACTCCAGCAGATGACTGGCAAGAGAACAGCATACATAAGTAATAGCAAAAGTAAACAGTTCAGCATGACTGGCAAGAGAACAGCATACATAATAGCAAAAGTAAACAGTTCAGTTTTAAACTAGCAGGCTTGCCTGTGTTCATAGAGCCCTGTTGTAATGGGACAAAGACAGTCCTGGAGACACTCGTGTTCTTTCTATGAATTCAGGACAGAATCCAGCACTTCCATTCACTCCGAAGCCACACAAATAGAATCAGTGCACAGTTGCAAACACAAGCTCAGCACGTTCACAAAAATAGGTGTTTAACCACATTATTTAGAACCACACTGTGCAACCTATCTGCTTTCACATAGGCATCCTTCAGACTGAATATATAATTAAAGATATAAGGATAAGAGGGAAACACAGGTACTAGAACTGAGTCAATTCTACATTAACACATTTTAATTTAAAAAATGATACACAGAGAACGTGTTTGTCAGATAAAGAGATTAAGTGCTCAGTTTAAGCCCACGTAATACTCAAAATCTGGAGGAATCTCTTATTTATGTGCTTACCTTTGGAAAATGCACTGCTCCGTCCTTCCCTTAAACTCTTTAGAGAGCTAAAAAGAGGTCCTGTTACTTCCAAATGCTTTTGTTCTTCTGTCCTTCTGTCACATGGCTTGCCTTTTATATTTGCAACACACAAAAGTTAGGGCTGTTGTTTAAGAGAGAGAGAGAGAGAGAAAAAGAGACAGAGGGAGAGGGAAAGGGAGAGGGAGAGAGAGGGAGAGAGAATGTCAAATGGAAAAGTGCCATTGCAGTCATATATCAATCAGGGCAGCGGCAACAGCAGCTCGCTGGCAAATGGGAATTCCACAGAAATGTGAAGCTCTTGTTATCTGAGAAATCACAAAACGCCACCAGCCAAGCTCCCCTCCTGCAGGGACTTCTTATTATTGGCAAGCCAGGAAATAGAAGGAAATGTAGACTTTGTTGTTGTTGTTTTTATTGTTTCAGATCTGGGGATATATATACGATGGTATATATAAGCCCGTGGAATATATGTTCTGAATAAAATTCCTTTCTAAATAAATGCACTGCGTGCAAGATAAAGCAGTTTGCTGAGACGCAAGCTAATTAGAGCTAAGTGCATAATCTGAAAGTAAAAATTATAAAAATGTGATATGTGTTTGGATTTGGAAAATTTCCATAGAGAAACTGCCTTTTCCCTGGACTTATGCATTGATGTGTTTTTCAGACAAATTTTTCTTAGCTTTTTTGTTTTAAGTGTGATTGATCTCAGATATCCTAAATTCAAGCTGTGCTGCTTTATTACAATTGGTCAGCTAAATCACCTCATGTACCCTGGCTGCCCAATTGGGCAAGCATTTTCTGTATAGATAATTCTATGTGAAAACCTAAAATTTAGATGCTTCAAATAATCTGTCTTGAAATTCTGAAATTTCTCTCAAATAAATGCTCATATACTCACAGAAGCCAAAAGATTTCAAATAGATATTATCTTTTTGCTTTATCCACCTTCCTCTGAAGAATGCCAAGTTTGAAAATGATTATCCTTCAATCCATTTATATATATAATCTGTCTTTTACAGAAAATTTAAATCACTGAGAGGCTGAATACAGAGTCCGTCCACTGGGAAAAAGCTTCATATAGCAAGTGCATCGCAAATGTGTTTGGTTATGCACAGTGCTGGATCCACAAAACCATTTTCTTCCCCTCCGGAGCGGCAACACATTTCGCTTCACTTTAGACTGCCCCCTAGTATTCCTGATGCGTTGCACAAGCATAGCACTGTGCCAGTAAGAACAGACCTTATCTAGCTAATTAAAAAATAGGCTACATAGCGGGCCATTCACAAGCTGGATCTGTTCACAAGCACTGCCCAGCAGATGGACGGAGTCCTGTGTCGAGTGTGTTTGAACTCTGAAGGAAAGTTGGTATTTGATGGATGATGTTATTAGCTAAATGTCTTATGTGGTACAAGATCAAAGAACAGATGGAAATTATGCCTTAAAAATAGAATAATCTAAAAGGGGAATGGCTTGTAGATGACTAAGCATCATGGAAACAATAAAGGAGACATTCTTTGGCTTGCTTTACTGTGGAGCCAGGTTTGGCTGGCGGGATAAACAAATCATCCACTTAGGAGCGAGATTCCCAGGATGTGAGTTTTGCTTGACATTTTTTTCCTCATAATCAGTGTTTACATTGTTTTGCCTTTTAAGTCAGCTCAGTGGTTCTCTCACCTATCATGCATGCACCAACATCACGGCAGTCACCCAGGGTGGGCGACAGCCCAACTCACCAGCACCTTTGCCTCACGTACCTTCACTGTGACTGTGGGCTCAAATGTCACGGATCCTCTGGCACTTACCTTACCTTAAATAGATAGGCCACATATATCTCTTACTGTTTTGCCTAGCAATATTTTTTAATTTAGCTAAAGCTAGCTTTTAAAACTAAAGGTACCAGCACTTTTGTCACTGTGCTGGCATATAAGAGCAGTGTTTTTCCGTGGGAAAGAAAGTAGCTCGCACGGTCTGGTTGCTTGCACTAAGGACTTGCAATGTGGAAAACAAAAGATTGGCTAAGTAGCTCCTGGATGAAAGCCACCAGGAAACAGTAGATGTCCTACTCACAGTCCTTACTGAAAATGATGTTTCTTAAATTCCTTACTGGTGCAGCTTAGATCTATAACCTTTGCGTCATCTACAGGAGAGCATATCTATATTAGTTGTTTGTTAGGTGCTAAGCACACTTTAAATACTGAATAGTTAGTTAACAATAATTTCTCAAACAGTGGTATTTTTGAGAAATAGTGCTCAGCTATTTTCTGCCACGGCTATGAAATCCTGATACAGGAAAATCTAGGTATGCAGATACTGGAATGAAAAATAAAAAGAAAAGTTAAAAGTGACTTTCAATTTTTCATCTTCAGCTTCAAATCCATGTTTGGTAGTGAGTGGCAGTGTATCAGCAAATAACTGATCGAGTTACTTATAAACTGACACTGTCATTTGTGGCCTCCTGAATGAACTTACACATGGTTGCAAGCACGAAAGTAGAAGTAAAAAAAAATGTAGCCCCCCCCCCCTTTTAAAACTACGACCCATAACTTTTTTATAGCTGTTCATAAATCTTGATCATATATCATCTATTTAATCCCATCGGTAAAGAAATTTTAAAGAAACAAGTAAAAACAAAAGCACAGGAGCTCAGAGCTAGATTTTCAAAGATGATTAGATATCTGAGATGACAACTGACATTAAATAAAATTTCCAGATCTAAGGTATCCAGTTCCCATCAATTTTAATCTGAACTCCCATTAGATGGCGCTTATCTCACTTAGCTGTAGTTCCTTAAAAACTAAGTTTAGGCTCCCTGCATAGCAAATGGAGAGACATTCCATCCCAAATTAATTTCACTTCGAGCCAGTTTAGGGTAGGCATTAATAATAATCTTTCTCCCTGTGAACAACCAAAGATGCTTTGCATCACTTGGATTTATAGGGATACAGGTCATGGTAGGACAAAGTCTTGTTCCATTATTTAATTGATAAATGATGGTTTATATTAGGAGCTCGGCTATATGTTTTGCATAGTTGGGAATGTAGGGGGAACTGAAAGTATTGCAGTGATGAGAAATTGTCTATAGTAACAATATAGTTGTTATAGAGTCAAGTTGGAGGCCTGTGGCTAGTGGTGTCCCCCAGGGGTCAGTCCTGGGTCCAGTCTTGTTCAATATATTCATCAATGACCTGGAGGAAGGGACAGAGTGCACCCTCAGCAAGTTTGCTGATGAGACTAAACTGGGGGGAGAGGCTAACACACCAGAAGACTGTGCTGCCATTCAGAGGGACCTGGACAGGCTGGAGAGCTGGGCGGAGAGGAACCTCATGAAGTTCAACCAAGGCAAGTGCAGGGTCCTGCCCCTAGGGAGGAATAATCCCATGCA